TTTTTTGCAAAAAACGGGCCTATTTTCCTGAAAAATAGGCATCTTTTTGCTCATTTTTGCCACCCCTACCCCCCAGGAGCATCCTACAAGCCTCCTAAGGGCTATTCATGCTCTTTTTTTAAAAACAAATGGGCCCGTTTTCACAAAAAACAGGGCATTTTTGGGAGGTTTGCAGTGCAAAAACTTTTTTTTAATTTTCCTCTTCAAAACCTTGCTGCATCTTATACTCCAGTGCGTCTTATACTCTGAAAAATACAGTAATTTCAAATTGTAGGCCATCTGCCTCTGATTCCAAGAGTATCTTATTAGAAGGCAACTGCTTGCTTCATTTGAAGTCCATTATCCTATGTAGAGAAAACCAAAATACTTAAATCATTTTGTCTAAATGAAGGTCAGAAAACTTCTTTGATTTAAATCATAAATTGTATTAATCCTAATCCTAACATACTATTAGAATAAAACAATTAAAATTTGGCATAAACATCCCTATGGATGCTTTGTTTTAAACTTTTTTAAATGAAAGTTTTATTCTAGAAGCTATTAGTAATTTAGTATACTTATTAGATAGACAATGTTCCACTACCAAGTTTGTAGTAACCTTACCGGTTTTTATTCATTAATCGGCTATATGATATCTTAACCAACCTGATGGTCTTCAGATATCATCCAGTATGATTTGAAAGGCTCTTCTTAAACAAGAATTCACCATTCAGTATCTATCCTGTTGTCATAGAGTATGAACATTCATTTTTAATCTTTTAATTTAAAAGTCACGATTGTTACATAAGATGTACAGCACACATATAAAAGTTAAGACTTTGTATGCATCAAGTCTAACAAGGATTCCTATTTCCTACCCATATTTTATGACACATATCATCACTTTGAAATCCAGGGCACTCAAAAATAAAGTGTGAGCAAATATTCTTTTCCACTTAAAAGACTGAGCACATCTACTTTCAACAGCAAAAAAGTAGCAAGTATAGTAGAAGTGTGACATTTCCACAAATGCTTGAAAACATATCATTTATTACAGAATATTTTACATCAACTTTTTCCAATCTGACACATTCTAGCTCACGCTTAACTACAGCATCTATCACAAGCTAACAAGAGCATTGCCATGCTGCCTATTAAAGATGGAAGATATTGCCCAACATACTGGAAGAAACACAACTGTGAATTTAATTTAGCTTTTTCTGAACAATGTAACATCTTCACACCCATACTTCACTATTAAACAAATATACATTCAATATTCACTATTTCTCAATATTTTGCCTTGATCTGCTAGAATACTTAGGACAAATTCCATAGCACCAAATACATCTATCTGCCTATATCTAAATCCTTTATCTTTGGTTTAGCTATTACATTCAATATTTTAGTAAAATATACAGCATGACTACTGCAGCACATCTAATTTCAATGCTAACACATGTTATGTAGATCATGTAAAACATATTGTGTTCAAACTAATCAGAACTAAAGCCAATGCATTAACTAAATAATATCTATATTGCATAGATATTCCAGGGACATGTTTCAGTGTGTGCATGAACTGTTACCTCATATAATATGCATTCCAAGGAAGAATTTAATATTTTGTTAACCACCTTAAGTCAAAGACTCAAAATATATTTATTACACTTTTACAAAGTAAAGTCTTCATAAAGTATATTATCAAAAAGCTAAATAATAACCACATTCTTAAAGCTATGAAAAGGTCTGTTCCTGTTTCTATTTCACTATCTGACAAAAATATTAAATGCATAATATCTCATAGTTCAAATAATGTTTTCTGAGAGATACAATACTTTTTTGCCCTGTAACTAAGGTACTTTTAAACATATTACATTCATATGTGAAGCTTTTTCTCTGAAAGGTTCAAGCAGCATATGCAGCACTCCCTTCTCCAATATTTCACAATGATACTATGAATTACATTGTACAACTAGAACTACCACTAAGTTTTATGATTGAACGGCTATTTAACCTGGGTTTTTAACAACACATGCCAAGTTCAAACAGTAAAACAACCCAGTTCTGACTGATACATATACTTAAAAGGATTATTCCAACCTCTGAAAATTGTTTCTTATCATCTTAACACTTTGCACAAGGGAAAACAAGCACACACATCCAGGCTTTTTTGACAAGTAGAAAAGGTGTTCGCAGATCAACTCACTCTTTAATTTGGCTTCAACATTCACAGAGCACTAGACTAAGTACAACTTTAGCTAGTATTTTTAAAAATAAAATATTTCTAAAACCGATGAGTTCCATCATTGCCCTCAGAAGCATAATCCAACATTTAGAGGATACCTACTTTCAGCCTTCACAAAGCCCAAAGAGCATCTGCGCTGCCTTAAGAGGAATGATGTCAAAACTTTGCAAAGTACTCCCCACCCCCATAAAATGAGAAAATAAAACGGGGAAAAAACCCGAAGCAAATCCGACTCATCCCTTTAGCTTTTTGAATCCCCGCGTAAGGTGCCCGGCTGAGCTAAACGACGGCAATAACTTTGCCTCCGCAAAACCAAGAGAAATCCTCCTATTTCCGAGGTAATCACGTCCATTCGGAAACGACCAGAGTAGGACCCTGTATCAACGGGCAGAGGGGAATAAACAGGCGAGGAAACGCCTTGTTGACAACCACGGTGTGCCCGAGGTTGCTACACCACCCGGCCGACCCCTTGCTAGGGATGAGCAAAGAGCCGGAAGACCCGTCCCCCTTGTGCCTCCTTCTCACCAACCCACCGCCCCCAGCAGTGCTGGCAAAAGGCGCTCCCCTCCCTCCTCTTCGGCGCGTTACCTTGCGGACCCCCTTGTAAATGTAGAAGTAAAGCTCCCGGCCCACATTGAAGCAGAGCCGGTCCCCATTGCCACTCTGGTCGTTGACGTTGACGAAGGAGACGCGAACGGGATTGGAGCCCTGCGAATTGAAAGGCACCCGGTTGGGCCGGCTGTACTCCGAGTGGCTTAGGAGCTTGTAGAGCCCCTCGCGGGTGGTAAACTGGGTCTTAATCTCGTTCATCTCCTTCCCTCCTCCCTCCGCCGCCATCTTGGAAAGGAGCATTCATCGTCTTCCAGTACCCGGATGAAAGGCCAGCGCGCAGACGCAGCAAAGAGGGAAACTGTCTCTCCTGGTCTGAAAGCGCATGAAGGGAAGCTGGGCGAAACGTTCGTGCCATGAAGTGGGAGGAGCGAAGCCTTCCCCTGTTTACCGCTATGCTGCGCATGCGTCGGCTCGGCCTGGTGCAACGGGATGAGGTGGAAAAGATTAAAAGCGACGAGCTTTCGGAGTGAAGGAAGTGATGGAAAGATTAAGAGGGAGATGAGCTTTCGGAGTGAGCATGCGCCGAAGGGGAAACTACTTCCTAGTGCTTTTGCGTTGGAATTTTGTATTTGATAAGAGGAAAGTTGCAGCAAGCGCTCCATAGGTACCTCTGGACGAAAATAATGCAGATTAACTGCGGATTTATATTTGGAAAACATTGCACATCTTTTTCGTTGCTCAATTCGTACTATATTCTTCCTTACTGTATTACTGTGATTGTATAACAGCTGTTACAGCCAATGTTCAACTTTTGGTTACTCAATCTTCACAGAGAAATAACATATATTCTGTACCTTTATTGCTTCTTAACTCCCAAGAATGTGGAAGATTTTCTGTATAAATGCATTTATGAATACAATGGAAAGTTACCACACGTCTGTTAAGATGCCAGAGTTTTGTAAATGTAAATCACTGGAATTTTTTCCACCCTTAGTATAATACATAAGGTGTACAGTTCAATTGAAAAACAATTTTTAGGGGGAAATAAATTAGCAGGTGGCTGCATAAGTGTTCACAGCCTCTTATAAGAAGGAATGTGGCTGTGTTCAGAATTAATCACTTTCAAACTGATGTTAAATAATAACTGTCATCAATTAAAGTAATACTGATCAAGCCTATATAAAGTTCAGCTGTTGTAGTAGGATTTTTCTTGACATTCACAGAATTGCCTCTTCCAACAAAAGCCATGGTCTAAAAACAGCTTACAAATCATCAAAGTTATCTTACTGTGGAAAAATATGAGGAGGATATAAAAATTTCCCAAGGCATTGGCTATATCATGCAACCAGTGGTGGGATTCAAATAATTTAACAACCAGTTTGCTCAGGGTCAGGTTGGCCATCATGGGAGGTGTGGCCATCCCCATCCTCCAGCTCCACCATACATGTGGGATGAGCCTCCTGCGATGGCTAACCTGACCCTGGGTGAACCGGTTGTTAAATTACACACACACCAATATCAAAGTGGATCATGGGCACTGTGCTGCAATGGAGAAATGGGAAATGGAGCGGCCAGCATGAGGGAAGGAGGAGAAACAGGGAAAGAGGGAAAGTGGTTTCTTCCTTCCCTCATTCCCATTTCTCCATTGCAGTGCCGCAGAGCTTATACTACCCACCACCATCCAGATGCCCTCGCTTCATCCAAGAATGGTGGTCAAAGAAAGGATTCCATCACATGCTGAATGCCATAATTAAACCATGGCTTCCTAAGATGCCCTCTGTGTCACTGGATAAAGCAAGAAGGGAGGAACTCAAGGCAGCAAGCACCTCCACCCCCAACAAAGTGAAAGAAGAAGCCTGCCCGTGTCTCCTGTCCACCCCCGAACAGTATGCTTCTCCTAAAGGCCTCTGGTTTGATGCACCACCCATTCTGCCTCTTCTTTTGCTTGCTCCCTCCTGTGCCTGCATTTTTTGGGGAAGCGAGGGCATCTGGATGGAAAGAGGAGAGAGAGAGCAGCCCATGAGATCATTGGCACCTTTCCTCAGCAGCGTCTCAAACCAATGGAGGATGGGAAGATGGCTTCCGGCCTGCAGTGGTGGACTGTGGCACCAGGTGAGCCCAAAGACACACAGGGAGAGCGAGAGAAAGAGAGAGAGGGAGGGATAAATGGGCCACTGGGGAGTGTGGCTGACAGTTGGCTTCCAGTGCCAGAGAGGGTGGGAAAGAGAAGCGGCTAGGCTGCTGCCGCCTTTCATTGGTGTGTGTGGAGTGAGACGGGGCTCCTCTTGCCGTCTCTTCTCCCCCACTCGCCGGGCATGGCAGGGCTTCCTGGCCCGCACTTCAGCCAGTTTCCCGAACTCTAGAAAAATTTCGCTACCGGTTCTACTGAACCGATGTGAACCTGCTGAATCTTACCACTGCATGCAACACAATGATTATCAACAAACTGTCACTTTGAGAAAATACGCCACAACAGTGATATTACCAAGAATTAAATGCCCCTTCAAAATTGAAGAAAAAATCAGAAGAAAACTGGTTCAGGAGGTTGCCAAGAGACTTACAGCAATGCTAAAGAAGCTGTAGGAATTTCTGGCAAATACCAGTTGTGTATTACATTAGCAACAATCTCCTGTATTTTTCATATATCTGGGGTAGGGTGGCAAGATGGAAGTTTTGTCCACCCTGACCCTAAACCTTCATGTAAAAACTACATCAAGTCTGACAAAAGCATGTGGAAAAATGTGTTGTGGTTCGATGAGACCAAGTTTGGCCATAAGTCCAAAAAGTATGTTTAGTGAAAAAACAATTTCAGCTGGAACTGTGACTTTAATCAAGATGGAATTATGAACAATTCCAAAAAACCAGTCAGTTTTGGCACAAAATCTTCAGGCATCTGCTAAAATGCTGAAGATGAAGAGGAATTTCACCTTTCAACACAATAATGACCCAAAGCATACTGCCATGTCAAGAAAAGAATGGCTTCTCCAGAAGATCAAAGTTTTGGAATGGACCAGCCAGAGCCTGGACTGAAACCATCTGAAAATCTGTAGGGTGAACTGAAGAAGTCCATGCACAGGAGATGCCCTCATCCCTGGCTGATTTGGAGCACCTTTTCAAAGAAAAGTGGGCAAAGTTTCCCAAGGCAAGATGTGCCATGCTGATAGATTCTTACCAGAGGTGGGTTCCTACCGGTTTGCACCAGTTCAGTGGAACCGGTAGTGGAAATGGTGACTGGGTCTCCGAACCGGTAGGGATGGCATGCTCACCATACCTCCAAACCGGTTCCCCAGTCGCCGCAACATCTTTTTTTAACTTTTTAAAATGTTCTGCACATCCGCAGACCTATTTATAGGCAACTGAACTGCACATGCACACCTAACTGGCAGTAATGGCGGCATAAACCCACCACTGGTTCTTACCCCAAAAGACTGAATGCTGTCCTAAAAAATCAATGAATTAGTTTAAGGAAGTGTATCCTTATGCAACCATATTATTGTAAGATTTTTTAAAATTATTTTTCCCCTAAAGGTTTTCAGTTTGTTTTTCAATTGAACTGTACAGCTTATAGGTTATATTAAAGTGGAAAGAATGCTGAACTGATTTATCTTGGTCTGATTCTTTCACCACTCAAAAACCTGGCATTTTAACAGAAGTATGTAGACCAGTGTTTCTCAACCTTGGCAACTTGAAGATGTCCAGACTTCAACTCCCAGAATTCCCCAGCCAACATTCGCTGGCTGGGGAATTCTGGGAGTTGAAGTCCCAGACATCTTCAAGTTGCCAAGGTTGAGAAACACTGATGTAGACTTTCCTCATTTATTGTACGTTGCAACAATTCCTTTTAGCTATTTTCCAGATACTTAATTGCATTAAGATTGTATCTTAAAGACTTGGAAAATGATTACAGTATGGCTTTAGACAGCCAATTTCATTAAATGCAGAGAGAGAGATAAGCAAGTGAATGTATGTAAGGGCTACCATATCTGAACTGAAAAAAATATTAAGTAATCACCAGACAGAAACAAAAGATAAAGAACTGTTTTATCTACTTCCATGTGATGATTATTTGTATTTTTGAGGATTTGCAATCCACATATGGTAGCCATGTACATACTGTATATGATGCCTGAAATTTTAGAAATGGGTATATACTTTAATACAGTATTGCACTTTGCAATCAGATACATCTGGTCTCTATAATATTTTGCATTTTACAATCTAAGCTACATAACCAGATATGCAAATATACTCAGGTTGTATGTTGCTAATTCATTTAAGAAGGCAAATACTGTAATGACAAAAAGTCTTCCCCAATAGTAATAAGGAACTATGTAAGGAACTACTTTCCAAAAAGTTGGAAAAACCATTAGCAGGTCTTCCTTTACTACAGCCTCCAAACCATTTTTTTTTGAGACTGAATAAAACAATCTCTCTCAATTCAGTTTCAATATCACTTATTTTTAGCATTGTCAAATGTTACCTTCAAGATCTGGTGTATAAACATATTCTGTTTGAGCGCCCCCAAACAGCCTGTTTGTTGTGGTACAAAAATGTCCCACTTACGTAACCATTTGCTGTGGGACTTTGTGCCTCCATGGCTCTCTGTGCCAGAACATTTGGTAATGGGCCATTTTCTTTTTTCTTGGGTAGTTTGGTCAGGAAAATGTCAATCTAATGCAAATGAATGTGGGTCGTGGGTCTTCAAGAGAGCAGCAATTCCACTGATAAGTAGTAGATAAGTAGAAAGCAACACCAGTTGTGAAGAGCAGCCACATCTGTACACCATGTCTTCTATTTGGGCACCAATGTAGAAGACATACTGTATGTGGCCAAATTATTTGCTGTGGGGTTGTAGTCATTGTTGTAATCTATTTTGTCAGCTGTGACCAGGGGGGCCTTTGCCCAGGTTTGCCTGGTGCACCAGTTGTGGCCCTATCTGGACAGGGAGGTACTCCGAATGGTCACTCACACCCTCGTCACCTCAAGACTGGATTACTGTAACGCACTCTACATGGGGCTGCCCCTGAAGAGTGTTCGAAGACTGCAGCTGGTCCAGAATGCAGCCACGCAAGCGATAATGG